CAGCAATGTCATGGAAATACATTGATTAGCCAGTCATAAACGGGCCTCTACTGTCTTCTACCGCTCCAGGTTTTGCAGGTGCAAACGTAAATCTATCACTGGATCCACCTTCCAGATATTTCATGGTGATGTAAAAATTCTTAAGAATAATAGAAACAAGCGTCCATTTGTTATCGAGAGTGATGAGGACGACTGACTTTACAGCTACTTTTTTAGGTTTGCATTCATTTCCGCAGCAGCATTTTCTGGCTCCATAATTATTGACGCGAGAAACGTATATTTATTTCTAAGATCGACAAAATTCTTTGGCATATTTGAAAAAGAAAAAACCAGTAGCTGCTGTGATTTTCGACAAATTCCGTCACAAACCTTTGTTGAATTCTTGCTCGGTCTTTCTGAGGTGCTCGCGTCATCAAAACATGTCCCTTTGAATTTAAGTGGGGAAAGTGCTTTTTAAGAGATAAATTAAAAATTTTGGTTTGAATGCCATAAGTATTTTTTAAAAAAAACAACTTACGAAACTCGCCTACATGAGCCGTACTGTCGTTTTTGTGCAGACCTCGCAGCGTTCGGTCCATATTGCCACAACCAGTAAGAAGTTAAAATAATTAGAATAACTGCTCACAAAAAGAGAAAAAAATCAGAAAGGATAAACATGGTAAGAAATCAAAATCAAAAGGCAAATTCCACGGGGAGGAGTTACTCGGCCCCCAAGCCAGTTTGAGAGTTACTCCTTGTCCACCAGCTCCAAATCATACTCGGGGAGAAGTTATTCGGCCCCCAAGCCAGATTAAGAATAACTCCTATAGCGTGATTCGAACCCACGACCTCGATGACCTCTCCTGTACTCGTTGCGCGCCCACGATTACCAGTCGACCATCTGGAATATGCATCATTACTTAATATCAATTGTCGGTATGGAGAGTTTTCAAATACCGGGCTGGGGGGTAGGGTGAGGACGTTTGTCTTACTTAGAGTGCAATCGTGCGTTTCTGGTCAAGAATAAAGGGAATGAATCATACAAAGAACCGAAAGAAGCGATCTTAACGTAAAATATTAGCATATTTCGTAAAGTGGATGGCATCATTTGCCGGGGGTTGTTAAACACGAAGCTTCGAACACTTCTCGAAGAATCTAAAAGAAGTTATCAATTGTGTGCATTGGCTCTCGTTCGATTTGTGTATAAAAGTGAATAAAGGAAAATTCGTAACGTAACAAACTGGTGTGGCAAATACAAACTCCAGGACGACAAAATCTTCACGAGTCACGAAAAATGCATTCCGCGGAATAGAAAGAACGCTAACAAAGAAAAGGTAGAAAGCTTTTTTAACTCTAGAATTTCACGTACTTTTGCTGTAAGCCATAGTTGTAAAAGTCAAAATAAAAGAAAATAAATAAATAACGAGGAAATATCACTTGTAGAAGGCCGAATGCCCATGCATCACACTAAGGTGTAAAGTGTCATCTTTCATTGATGGGCAAGTTTAAGAACAAGAGCAGTTGTGTACGCAAGATTTATTTAAGATTTATTGTCCACTATTTTTGCATACCCTAAGTTTGCTTGTGTTATTACAAGTAAACCATAAGTATAATTTAGCTACTTAACATCATTTTCTACATTTTCCCCGTCAATTTAACCCTTTTTTCAATATCATTTAATGATTGAATAATTATAATCTCACATAAAGGCATTCGAAAAGGAAAAAGAAAAACAAATACACCTTATCACAATGCCAACTTACTTTGGTCTCTGATTCAGTTATTATAAAATGCTTTAACAAATAAAAGGGTGTAATACTGTGACTTTTTTCAGAGATATTTCTAGATTCTTTAGTGGAAAAATTGGTCGAAAATTCTTGATGGCGATTGCAGTCATTACAAAAAACAGGTGGTCTCCCTTGTGCGATGCGACTACTGATGAAGAAGTTTTCTGAGCTCC